GTTCTTCAAAGTCTATTTTGAGGCTATTCGATCTCTTACAGAAAAACTGGAAAACTTTCCCCAGAAGGCTTTCCTGTCCCTGAAATGTAAGTAAGTTTCTATAGAATATACACAAACACTACTTCCTCTATCCTTCCTCCTATAAACTACTTATTTTCGTACTATCAACACAAGACACTGTATGAGTAGGAGTCATCCCCAAAGTGTTAGGTTATGGTACTCCCTCTAATAACCTATTTTCCTAGTTTAAACAAAATCTACTGCATGAGTAGGGGTCATCGCCTGAGTGCTGGAAAAAAGAGTTTCCCAATGTTACAAAGAACCAATATATATAAAAAAAAAAAAACATTATTTCGAGAAGCCCAGATTATAAAACCCTTACTCCCGGCTGAAGCTCGGGACACTTTCTAAGCGAATAAAAACATGGTAACATACACCAAAATTGGCAGAAATTTTATCCGATAAAAGAGTGACTCTTTCTTAAATTCTAGACAACATTCGAAAGTGTCACAACGTCCATGGATACTATGACATACTATGAATGAGTCATATACTTCATGATTACCGACTTCTTATTTTATAATATTACAATATATTTCATTTAAAGACTGATCTGCAGAGACAGCAGAGACTTCAGGCGGGGAACTAGCTCAAGAGTTCACCTCCATGGATCCGCTCCTGCACTGGTTAGTAACTATGTTTAAATATAACTATATTAGGGCAAGTCATGATAAAAGAGTTAGTCCAAGCATGAAGAACGAGGTCACTTTTATTGAACTGGAGAACAGAAGGATAAAAATTGATGCTTACGCGGACGATGTTGTGATACAGGTAGCAGGAATGTTCCCAAAGGTAATTACACAGTGATGTTATGGTAATAATCAAAACAAAGACCAAGGTTTCAAGTTTTAATCTGCCGCCGTTAAAGTACAGAGAAATTCCTTTATTAAACAATGCTAAATATCTAGGAACGAGTGGTGTATGGGTAACTTACCGATCAAATATACCACCAGAATCTTTAAAGATAGTTCTAAAATGAACTCCGATGTTAGTTCTGGTGTCTTCTGTGAAGAAGCTGATAAGATACGCCTTACAACCTGAAATAGCCGGTATATATCGAGACTGAATGCCATAACAACTGGACTTTAGGTGCTAGGCAGTCATACAAGACGGTTTGAGGTCCTTAATGAATGACCTTAACTTGGCAATTACTTCATACCCAACTTTGGTGAGATATTTGTATCTTGTGAGATTTCACACGTCTACAGACAGCATCTAAAACTGTAGAATACTACCTTCCACGATCGGAGTTTTATCAATACGTTGTCCCTTGGATTCAGGCGCACTGAACTATCATGATAACTAACCAACAAAACTAAAAGTCTGGCTAATTTAGACGCTCCTTACCAAATTTAAAGAAAAACCAAAGAAATGTCAACCTTAATACATTATTAGGAATACCTTCATGTTGACACAGTGGTTTTTATGGATAAATAGAAATATACAAAATGTTAAAATCATTATAAAGTGTAATGAAAAATCATTTTAAAATAAAGCAGCTTTAAAATTGTGATATTTTTCTGCTTTCTATTTAAATAATAATTGTGCTATAGTGTTCAAAAATATGTATGTATGTATGTACTTTTTTCAAGACCACTGTATTTCTAACAATTGATTATAGTGAATAATACCAATAAGACTTTCCTCTATATGCTATAAAGTTCTTATAGTAATATACATTTTTTTTGGTGCTAGTATTGATAAATGTTATTGATACGTGTTTATGATACGCATACACACAGACACAAATACACACACTTCAATATTGTTATAATCATACCGTAAGACTTTCTAGTCCATTTGATACATTTTTCTATATTTCACAAGAGTTTAATGGGCCACACAATAACATTCGTACTCTAATCGAACTGTAGTGACAAACAAGAATAAAGTTTTCCCTGGTTATATACTTA